CTGGTGTGCCCGTGGCCGCAGCCGGGCCCGGTACCGCAGCAGCCGCCTCAGCAGGTCCAGCGCGGCCGCGTCAGCGCCCGGCACCAGCAGCTCCAGCGGTGGCGGCGCCTGTGGCTGGAACCGCAGCTTCGGGAAGTCCGGCAGCTCTGCCAGCTCCTGTGCCAGGACAGATGGGTGGAAAGCAGTATGAACCAGTGCAAACCACTATGGGCCAGCGTAAACCAGTACAGACCACTGTACACCCGTGCAAGCCAGTCCAGACCAAGATAAACCAGTCCAGACCAACAGAGACCAGTACAAACCAATATGAACCACTGCAGGCTCCCCAGGAGCTCCCAGAACATCCCAGTGCATTTTTGTGGTTTCCCAGTGCACCCCAGTGTATACCAGCAACCCACAGGATGTTCCAGTAGCTCCCAGTACCCCCAGCTCCCCCAGTAACCCTCAATGCTCCCTAGCAAAACATCAGCATCTCCCAATGCATTCTTGGGGTTCCCTAGTAACTCCCAGTACATCCCAGTAGCCCCCCGTAATTCCCCAGGACCCCCCAGTGCTCCCTAGAAACATCCCAGTAACATCCAGCACATTTTAATTGTTGCCCAGCAGCTCCCAGTAGCCACACAGTTCCTCCCAGTAGCCTCCCAGTAACCCTCAATCCTCCTTAGACCCATTCCAATATCCCCCAGTGCATTTTCAGGATTCCCTAGTGCATCCCCAATGTTCCAGTTTCTCCCAGGAGCACCCCACAACCCCTCAACACCCCCCAGCAATACCCCAGTATCTCCCAGTAACCTCCAGTATCAATCACCTCACACCATGTCCTGAGAGCTTCCCAGTACAGCCCAGTATGCCCCAGTGGCCTCCCAGTAACCCCAAACCCACCCTTGCACCATTCCAGCACTCTCCAACATCTTCCCATGGTTTCCCATTGCCTCTCAGGAGCCACCGGTATGACCCAGTGCTCCCAGTATCCTGCACTCCCTCTCTCCCATCTCCCAGCGCCCCTCATGCCCTTTCCCGGTCCTCCCAGTCCTGAGGGCACCCAGGTCGCTCAGAGCACAGCAGAGGCGCTCAGTATCCTTTCCCCAGTGCTCCCAGTGCTCTCCAGCCCCTCTCCCAGTCACTCCCAGTGCTCCCAGTTCCCCCAGTACCGGCCAGTCCCGTGGGCTGGGTGTGCCAAGGCCCCTGAGCACACAGCAGAGCTGTTCAATGTCGTTCTCCCCAGGGAACAGCGGGGACAGCGTCAGCAGCTCCCCGAAAATGCAGCCCACGGCCCTGGGGGGACCGCGGGGTCAGGGGGGTCCCCAAATCCCAGACGATCCCCTTAATCCCAAGGGATCCCCAAAATCTCAAAGGAACCCCCCAAAACCAGGCACTCACCACAAGTCCACACCCTCGTCGTAGTGTCGGGCGCCGTAGAGCAGCTCGGGGGCTCGGTACCACCTGAAAAAGGGGACTTGGGGTGGCCTTGGCTTTTGGAGGGACACTCAGACATCCCAGGTGGGGACACCTCAAAATCCGGTACCTGGTGGCCACTTGGTGGCTGTAGGGGCGCCCTGGGGAGGGGCCCAGCACCCGTGCTAGCCCAAAATCCGCCAGCTTGAGGTGCCCAGCACTGTCCAGCAGCAGATTGGCCGGTTTGAGGTCCTGCACCCCAAAACCGGGGTCACGGGGGGCTCCCAATACTCAGGGTACCCCCACAGTGGCCCCCAGACTGGAAACAGGGTCCTGCTGCAGCCATGCACTGGGTGTCCCCACCAAGGTTTTGGGGAGCTCCCTTTGATCTTGGGATGCCCCCGACACCCACAGCCCTCCTGCAGATATTGGGGTCCCTCTCGGGTCTTTGTGCCTACCCAGGTCTTGGGGTATCTTGCAGCTGTCTGAGCGCCACCCTCTGATTTTGAGGTCCCCCCATTGCCTGGGTGCCCCCAACCCACTTTTGGGGTGCTCACGTGGTGTGGGAGGTACTCCTGGTGCCTCCCCCAATTCAGAGTCCACTCCAGTTTCAGGGTTCCTCCCATTTTTAGGGCCCTTTGTTCTTTTGGGGTCCCTCACTTGGTGCAGCAGGCGGTGCCAGTGGCCCCCCCATTCCCGATTTCCCCCCTGGTTTTTGGGGTCCCTCACCCGGTGCAGCAGGCGGTGGTCGTGCACGTGGCCCAGCCCCCGCAGGGTCATGGCAAGCAGGGCCCTCACGCGGGGGGGAGGCAGCGGGGCAGGGGCCGCACGCAGGAGCCCCCCCAGGTCCCCCACGAGCAGCTCCAGAGCCAGAACCACCGCAGGGCCCTGGGCAAAGGCGGCCCGGAGCTGGATCACCTGTGCGGACAGCAGTGGGGACATCGAGGGCATCGGGGAGGGACGTCAAGTGGGGTATCAGGGACATTTGGGACACTGGGGACACTGAAAACTGAAGGGGACGTTGGGGTCAGTGACACCTGGGGGAGGACAGCAGAATTTGAGCTGGCTCACCTGCGGGAGGGGACATCGAGGGGTCACGGGGACATTGAAACTGGGGGGAGACACAGTGGGGTCAGGGGGACACCACGACTGGGGACATGGGGGCGGTTCCTGGAGACCCCGAAATTGCGGAGGAAGA